AGCTACAACGCTTATAAATTCATCTGGTAGTAATTAATACCTTTGTGGAGGCTGTGAGAAACACCTGACCCCGTGATGTAACTAGGTTGCCTGACACGAAGGTTGTACTCATGGCATCAGAGCTTACAGACAAGGAAACCAAGGCACAGCCCTGTTTGAATTATTGTTCTCCAAAGTTCCAGGCCAGTGTCCTGTACATTCCACTGTGCACATTTCAACAAAAATAATTGATTAAAACAGCTTCATTTAAACATTTACAGTGCTGTCACCTGTACAGTTTGGAAACTTTCTTACATGTTTAACTATGTCAATTTATTCTGGATGCATCTTTATTCAAAGACTGATTAAAACATTTATTTGAGATCCAGCCTATTTTTCTTAACTTACAGATAAAAGTTCTCAGGATCCAGTGTTTTTCCTTATTTAGTAGCAGTTTTCTCTCTTCTGCTGATGGTACTCACCGATAGAAGATCCCAAATATAAGCTAAAAGAAAAATTTGACAATCTTTCTGTTGTTTTGCTCATACTTCTTTCTCTAGGTGCAGAGAACTGAATCCCTGTCTGATGCACTGTCATATAACAAGAGCTACTTTTCTTCACCGAAACCACATAAATTCCTGCAACTGGACTCAGTTCACTGAGAAGCAAATACGCTGTCACTCTCCTTTTAAAAAAGGGACAAAAAAATTGCTCCATTAAGTATTACTGCTGATAGACACACTTGAAATCTGAAGTTTAAAGTAGTATTCCTCAGTAGAACCTGCCCAATTCAATTAAACATGTAATCATATACAAAGCACTTTATGAAGAACATTCCTCAGTACTGAGCCTTGCTTCCCTAACAGAATGAAACTTTTTTAAGCTTAACAAGGTTTAAGTGGTTTCTATGACCAAGTCCAGAAAACAAAGGTTCAAATTACAATTTTACCACCAATCAGCCGTGCCATCTTATCACAGTATCTTCAGACCTCATTTCCTCATCTCTAAAATGGAGAGAGTAAGGAGTATATTATTAATATCTAACTAAGGCCTTTATTAACTCTAAAGTTCTAGACTCCACGATGGCAAGATCAGAAAGCTTCTAATAGATCTATCTGCATCTACCCTCTCATTCCCAATTATCCTTCACACTATCACTGGTTTTCCCAAACTGTGTTAGATTCCTATTGTTGATACAACTAATTACCACGAACTCAGTGGCTTAAAACAACACAAATTCATATTACAATTCTGGAGGTCTTAAGTCTGAATGACTTTTACTTGGCTAAAAATCAAACTGTCAGCAAGGTTACATTCCTTCTAGAGGCTGCATTCCTTGGCTCATGGTCCCTTCATCTATCTTCAAAGCCAGCAGTGAAACATCTTCCAATCTCTCTCAGACTCAAACCCCTGACTCTCCTCACACCCTCTCTCACTTAGAAGAACCCTTGTGATTATACCGGAACCCCAGATAATTCAGGATACTCTTGCATCTCAAGATCCTTAACTTAAATCTGAACAGTCCCTTTTGTCATGTAAATTAAACATTCACAGGTTCTGGGGATTAAGAAGTAGACATATTTGGGGGAGCCATCCTTCTGCTTACCACAACTACTTATTTACATCAGCTTGCTAATAAAAAGCCTTTAATGGCTAAAACCAGACAAAGACATCACAAGAAAACTATAGAATGTATCTCTATGTACAGACACACAAATCCTCAACAAAATACTAGCAAACCAAATCCAGCAACATATAAAAAGAATTATACACTGTGACCAAATGGCATTTATCCCAGGAATTCAAGGTTGGTTTAACATTCAAAATTCAGTCAATATAATATACCACCTTAATGGAATGAAAGAAAAAACCCACATGATCATCTCGACACAGAAAAAAAAAATGTGACAAAATCCAGTACTTTTCCATGATAAAAATAGTCAAACTGGGAATCGAAGAGAACTTCCTCAATCTGACAAAGAGCACCTATGGAAAATCCACAGCTAACAACATCATATTCAATGGTGAAAGCCTGAACACTTTCTCTGTAAGATCAATAACAAGAGAAAGACATTTGCTCACACCACTTCTATTCAAATCATTGTACTAGAGAGTCTATTCAGAGCAATTAAGCAAGAAAAAAAAACAAAAGACATCCAGATTGAAAAGGAATCTCCATTTTCAGATGGCATGATCTTGTCTATAGAAAATCCTAAGGAATCCACTAAAAAACTACTAGCAAACAAGCAAGCTAGGCTATTAGCAACGTTGTAGTTTATAAGATCAATATATTATATAAAAATCAACTGTATTTCTACGTACTACCAATGAACAATCCAAAAAATGAAATCTTAAAAAACCCAAATCATTTACAATAGCATCAAAATGAATAAAACACTTAGGAATAAGTTTCACAGAAGTAAAGGCTTATACACTTAAAACTACAAAACACTGTTGAAAGAAGTCAAAGACAGTCTAAATGAAAGGAATAGAAGTGAGAATCCAGAAATAATTCCTCACATTTATGACCAACTGACTTTCAACAAGGGTGGCCAAGACAATTGAATGGGGAAAGAACAGTCTTTTCAATTAATGGTGCTGGTACAGCTAGATATCCAGATGCAAAAGAAAATAAACTGGACCCCTCCCTTACAACATACACAAAAATTAACCCTATGATCATATACCTAAATGGGCTAAAACTATAAAATTCCTACATGAAAAGAGGAGTAAATCTCTGTGACCTTGAGCTAGGCAAAGAATTATTCTTAGATATGATGCCAAAAGTACTAGCAATAAAAGAAATAAATTGGACATTATCAAAATTGAACATTTTTTTGCTTCGAAGGACATCATTCAAGAAAGTGAAATGACAATTCCTAGAGTGGGAGAAAAATTTTGCAAATCATATATCTGATAGGGAGCATGTATTAAGAATATGAAAAGAACCCTCACAACACAGTAAGACAAATAATCCAATTTTAAAATGGGCAAGGGATCTGAATAGACATTTCTCTAAAGATTTATCAGTGGCCAATAAACACATGAAAAGATGCTTGAAATCATTAGCCATTTTTGGGAAATGCAAAGTAAAACCACAATGAGGTTTCACTTCACACCCACTACAATGGCTATCAATCAGAAAGTCAGATAACTTGTGTTGCAAAGAATATGGAAAAATTGAAGTCCTCATATATTGTCAGTAGGAATATAAATTGGTGCAGCCACTAAGGAAAACAGTTTGACAATTTCTCAAAACGTTAAACATACAGTTATATGCCCAAGCAATGCTGCTCTTAGGTATATACCCAAGAGAAATGAAAGCATATGCCTACACCAAAACTTGATGTTCACAGCAGCATTATTCATAATAGCCAAAAAGTGGAGACAACTCAAATGCCCAATCAACTGATAAATAGATAAAATGTAGCATACATTGGAATGTTATTCATCAGTAAAAGGAACAAAGTACTGATACATGCTCTAACATGAACACTGAAAATATTATGTCAAGTGAAGAGAAGCCAGTTAGAAAAGGTCACATATTGTGTGATTCCATATATATATGAAATTTCCAGAATAGGCAAATCAATAAATACAGAAAGTAGACAAGTGGTTGCCATGGGTTGAGAGGAACAGGAAGTGGTGAGTGATTGCTAGCAGGTATGGCATTTCTTCTGGGGATGATAAAAATGTTCCGAATTTAGATAATGGTGATGATTGCACAGCTATATGTACATTAAAAACCACTGTATTGTACACTTTAATAGGGAGAATTTTATGGTATGTGAATCATATCTCAATAAAGCTATTCAAAAAAAGTCCACAGTTCTCAGTTCACACGCAAAACCACTGGTGAACATAATAACATATCTCCAAGTAGTCTGAAAAGAAAGTACATAAAATATCTTCTAAGAACACGTTTTTCTTTACATGTCACATTTAACATAAAAACCAACTACAAAGAGTTACATGAATGTTCTATGTTGCAAAGATAAATGACTATTATTAACATAGCATGGTGAAAAATAAGTAAATACATAAAAGGAACAGCAATTTTAGAATAAGCACCATCCACGGCTCCTCAATGGGCAAAAAACAAAATCCCCACAACTTTAGTCTTCCCTCACAACTGCGCTTCATCCATCATTTTAGACTTATCTCTCATTACTCCCCAGCACAAGTTCAGGCAGGCCAGCGTTTCCCCTGCCCACCCTCCAGCTACTCATCCAGCACCATGCTCACTGCTTCCCTTACCCTACCATCGGCTTTCTGTCTTCAACAAATTCTGGAGACTTTTTGCCCAACCAAATGGTCCTTATTCTTCAAGGCATGACTCAAGTCCTACCACAAAGAAATTTTTCTCACCCTCTCCAGAGTGTGGCAACCCAACATCCACTGGCCTCTCTACAACTGTAAGCTGCCTCCTCATCAAACAGACACTTTTCACCATCCCAATTTAACTAATTCATTCTTACAATATTAAAAATGAAGAGTCATGTACAGCTTATCTTTTGTGGCCTTGATTTAATCATTTATCCATTTCATCTCATAATTCCCTCACTTTAGGGAGATGATGTATCAGCTTTCACCTAGAGTCCTAAAGAAGGTAACATTCTTGCCAATGACAGAGTGCCACCTAGTTGCAGCACAGGGTAACTCACAATGGCAACAAAAGATCTCTACACTACTTTAGCAGAAATGCACTGCAGGTAAAAATAAGAAGCCACTGTGCCACTTTGCAGGGCAATTTAATTGTTTCATATGTGCATCCTATTGCCCTATGTTACACCTCCCAAGTCTTACAGATATTATTTATTCTCAGCTTAGTTTCATGCATATATTAGTCATTTAGTATTTACTAAATCAAACTCAATTTCTGAAGGGTCTTACAACAATAAATTCATGTGTAGATGGTTAAAATTTTCCTTAAGAATCTATCACATGAGAGTGTGAGTTTATTTCAATAAGTAAACAGCATAGATAAGTACAAGATAAAAAGAAATCTATGATTTACTCACATATAATGGAGCTTGCTGTGGATTAAGTTTCATGACCCAGGACACTGAAACAGAAATTGAAATAAATGAGAATAAGGTTAAAAGCTGTTGTCAAAAACATAAACACCAACTAAAGTCCCAATTTGTCAGCATGGCTCTGTGAGTACAATCCCATGTCTGAGATTACTGTACACTCAGCTGTATACTGTATATTGGTATACTGAGATTTGGGGAAAAAAGGAGGTCAAGGATTGCAAAGTTCCTTGTATCACAGACTCAGTCTTTTCAAGTGGGGAGAAAGATTTTTCCAATTGAAAAATAAAGACAAATGGCCTCGCTGTGACAGAAGTTTCAACAATAAACAGGGTATTTAAAGCAGTTACCAAACCAAAATCATTGTATGTTCAGTTACACTTTCACGTAGTCCCCCAAACTCACAAAATGCTGTTTCCCCAGGTTCCTCCCCCAGTCTCACTAGGGAACTTGGGGGAAGGGGGTGGCAGAGGACCACTAGAGCTCTCTTCCTTGCTACCCATCTCTCAGACAAGGGAGGCAACAGCTTGCCTCTAACAACTCAAAGTCGTGACCCTCCTCAAAATTAATAGCTGGATTCCTTGTTATTTTCACTAACTGAATTCTTACAAAAATCTTAAGAACTTTAGAGAAGGTTCCAGGATTGCAGAATACATTCCTGAACATTAAGAATAGCATGCTCTTAAAAGTTAAACTTGGTGATTTGACCAGGCCTTCATCGAGCTAAAAAATCATGGTCCAGATCATAGACTTCAGAATGGCAGGTCCTTTGCCAAACATTCTCAATCTGAGTATAGGTGATCTCATCCTTGTAAGAGTCAGAGAAGAAAAACCAAGTAACTTAATTATAATTTGATCTAAGGAAGATTCTTACTCACAGTAAGTAAATGAAGGCACACATAGGTAAATGAAGGCCAGCAATATAAACAATAGTATAAAAATGTCATTCATACATGAAAACAGATAAAATCCCATACTGTGTTCTATCATATCACAAAAACCTCACTAACAATGAATTGTAATCTGAACAGCAAAAACTAGAGGTTATCAAAGACCAAATAAATGTTTAGACTAAAAATCAGTGCCTTAGTGACCATGCCTAACTTAAACAACAGAACCCTCTCAATATTAAAATCCTCACAGATCTGTCACAGATCAAGCTGTGTATGCCTCAGATCAAGATTCAGCCAAAAAGCAGTCAACATTATACTCAGAGGGAAAAAAATCTATACCAGCCACCTAAACTCAATAATCTCCAACCAGTTGCAGGTCCCAGATTTCAATGTGCTCTACCAGACAAGGGCGATAGGAAGCTGACAGGCAGGTGGTATCCCCACACTGACTGAACCACCTCCACGCCCGTCCCCATTCATTCTCTGGCTCACCCCATACACTCTGACAGACCTCCTGGCTCAGGGTACTCTTTCCTTTCTGCCTGCCTTGATTTAATGACTTTGTACCCTTAGGTGTTAAAATCACCTGCAGAAATCCACTGAAAATCTGAGCTTAAGAAATGTAGCAATACCAACTCTTTTAGTAGAAGAATAAAAGTTGATTTCAAGCCCATCAGATTCAAATAGCAAGCATGGATCAAAGGGAAAGACTGAAAGGCTTGAGTACTTTCTCAAAGTATTAAATATCCATTTAATTTAAAATTAAGCTCACTGGCCTTATAATCAGCTTTCCAGGTCCTGTTCAGACTTGCTTGGGACAAAGGATTAAAAGAACCTATAAATTTATGAACCAATCTACCTTAACTAACTTCTGAAGTGTTCTTGTATCACAAGCAGAAGATGTATCAGTGAAACTGATACAGGAATTAACACCTTGGAAATCCATAAAGATAAGAGAAATCCACAGAAACAAACTAGTGACTTAGCAGCCCCCTGATGTTTCATGATTTGCCAAGAAACTTAGAATGACTATGCGTAAGGACCACGAACATCAATTTACCTGAACGGTTCCCGCTGCATTTAAATAAGATAGCCAGCGAAACTCAGATGGCTCTGAGGAAGGGCCGATATCATCTGAACTGTTTAAAATTAAGAACTCGTCTAAACATATTTCAAAGCCAGAACCAGAACCCGTAAGAGTTGCTCTGATACAAGGATTAAAAGAGGGATGACAAAGTGTCTGTCCTCCAGCATTGGTCAAAGGGACAGGCCATTGTAATGATGGCAACACAGGCTGCTGAAAACAATTTATCTGTCAAAAGCAATCAAAGTAATGACCCCAGAAGGCTCCAGAAATGGACTGGTAAATTCAGGTTGCTTTTAGACTTCTTCGTGCTGATACACAAGAGGAAGGAAAAAACTAACGTTTATAGGGCTTTATTTTTGATATTAGATTTAATCCCCATAGATACTATTTCCTCCATTTCACTGGTGAGAAAATTGAGTCTTCAAAGATTAAATTATTTAACACCAAAGTCAAAAAAGTGCAAGAACCCAGTTTCAAACCCAGTCTGATGTCAAAACATGTGCTTTTCCCCCCACATCTTAAGAGGCTCTCCTGATCTAAAAAGTGACCTGCCCCTCTATCTCTAGCCCTCATTCTACAAACTCTCCCTGATTTTGTTAATTCAGCTACCACTGTGTACCTACAATGTGCCAGGCACCTGGAGGATACAGAAAGATGAAAATTCCTATCTTCACAGACCTTCTTCTAAGGTAACACAGATAAATAAAACCTTGAAATAAATGAATTTCAGATAGTTATAAGTTCTATAGACAAAATTAAAAGAGAAGAAGGAATAGCAAATAGAGGGATACCATTTTAAGCAGGGTGCTGAGGGAAGGCCACTTTGAGAAGGTGACATTTATCCAAATATACAAAAGCAAGTATTAATAATATAGATTAACAGGTAAAAGGTGTTCTAAACACTTAAACCTGCTGCAACATTGAGAACTCAGAGTTCTGATGTAAAACCTTGCTGCATATAATGCGTTATTACACACGTTGAAACAAACTTTACTTGAAGACAGCCTTCGATGAGAGTAAACACACTTAAAAACCAAACCTACATGCCAAGACCAATTGAAAGTCTTGGCTTTGTTAATAGATTTTTGATTATGCCTTCCTAAAAGGAAAATTAAAGAAAAGCACTATATCCATCCAATGATTTCACCAAGGAATTTTAAGAGAGAAAAGTCCTATCATCTCTTCCTCATCCAACAACCAGTGAATGACTGAGCAAACTCTCAGGTTCACGGGGCCTGCTTTCATGTAACTTAAGGACAATACATTACAGACACAGTGGGATTATAAAGCTTGCCAAGTATCTGAAAGACTATGAAGAGGAAATATCAAAACTCAAAGACTTAAATGATGTGGTTTTAAGTATGTTCACCAAATTCACCACTCAGTAGTAAAACTAGCTAGAGTTGTAAGAAATCAGAAATTTGAGGGGTGTGAAATAATAAGCAGAAGTACAGTAAGTATTTTACTCTTCCCACATTTCCACTTTATTTTATAATACTGGAAAAAAATTTAATAGCTTACGGCTGTGACACATTCACTTTATGTCAAAACAAGACTCACCCAATTTTAATGCAATTGTCTCAATTATATAAATTAACATTCTCCCTCAATGCCTACACATAACAAATCTCTTATAGTGTTGTTGATTAGAATAACAAAGATTGTGGCTACAATCTCCTGATGCACTTTAATATAGAGACTATCAGCCTTTTTGTTCATAGTGTGGACACCATCATTAGAATGTACCAGGGCTAGGAGTGCAACACTTACAAAGATTAGCAATAGCAAAAGTTCTGGAATTTTTGAAATTCATGCTGCCTGCAAAGGCCTATGTAGACATTTAATTACTATACGGGACCACACAGAAACTCAGGCATGAAGCTATATGGCTGTATGACTTGTTTGGGAAAAGCAGGGAAGAGAAAGCACTTCCAGCAGCCAATACGCCTGAGCGAATGAATGCAAAACCTTAGGTTACTAAAAAGATTACATCTGAATTAAAATTGCTATCATAGCAGTGGTCAACAAACAGTTTCTGTAAAGGGCCAGATGGCAAATATTTTAGGTTTTGTAGGTCATATGGTCTCTGTTAAACGATATGTAAGTGAATGGGTGTGGCTGTGTTTCAATAAAACTTTATTTACACAGAGAGGCAGCATGCTAGAATAAGCCAGTAGGCAATAATATACCAATCCTTGATCAAATACTAACAAAATGATCAAAAAAACAACAAAAATACCGAAATAGCTGAAGAAGCAGTATGTCCCCATTCAATGGCTTTTTATGTCTTATAGATGTTTTAGCTAAAAAGAAAAACCGCATCTCAATATAGGAAAGAAACAGGATACTGTACAATATTCTCTACATAAGAAATCAAATTAAATCCTAGATCTACTTACAGAATAACTATATTGCCTTGAGCAAGTCACTTAACTTTTCTGAATCTCAGTCTCCTCATCTATAGAAAGAGTATAATAATGCTTGTCTACACTAAGAGGTTAGTGGAAGAATTAAGAGAGAGAACCCTGGTAAAGTACTTAAGCACGGTGCCAGGCACATGGTAGAGGCCATTGCTTCTTCCTCTTGCAGGGTTCCTGGGTCTCAGTGGAGACTAATCCCATATGAGACACTCTGAAATCCATAAATGGCTATGGCTTCAGGTACCCAGAGATGCCTTTCTGACAACTTCTTAAAATATGTTGGTGGGTAAGTTACAATTCTAAAATACAACACAATAACCACAAAAAAGAATCTGGAGGAACAAATACTGAAATGTTAAGTGTACACATCTCTCGGGATTACAGGGAATTTTCATTCCTAAATAATGTTTCTTAATCCTAACTATTCAAACAACAAATTTTTGTAATTAGGAAGAAAACATTATACACGGCACATCTGTTTTTAGTCTCCTCATTCAATGTATTACAATGGAACTGGAAATGAGTGAAAAAATACTGTTTCCTAAATGTACAAAATTGAAGAAATCTACAATCTTTAATAGGGAACCCTAGAACCAGTAAAGGAAAGACAATTAAAATAAGAATGTC